AACCATAAGGAATAAGTCTAAGCATAATAAATAGAACCTCAAAGTAGCAGATAATAACATAATTTGCGGAATACAACCCAACACAGCCCGATACTAGGGTGTTACTAGTCATGAGCATCTATCAATCCTAATACAAGTCGAAAAAGTCTATAAGCTATTACAAAAGGTCTGATAAAGAGATAGAAGTGATAAAGGGGGATAAATACGGGACTGCGGACGCCAAGCAGCTACCTTGTGACTCCAAAGTCTGTCGGGAGCTCTCAACTCACACTGGCAGGATCAGCAACACTTGAATTTGCACACGGAGTGCAGGGAGTAAAGTGAGTACTCCAACTCAGTGAGTAATAATCATAACTAAAGACTGAGTGATAGGAAATCACGAAAAGTACATCAACATGCTGTATAGAGTAGTACACAACAAGTAAAAAAGCAATGAAACTGTGAAATCTTTTAAAGCACCTTAGCTCAGTTTAAAATTCTTTAATAATGATTTTTTAACAGTTAAGCAATTGAATGCAAAGCAATTAGAACAAATAAGCACAGAAAGTCCGCCCCTCGGGCACAACTACACAATTAAACCGGTAGATGACAAGAAAATATGAAAGATAAATACATAAAGGTTCGCCCCTCAGGCACAATGTCAACAAATCCGCCCCTCGGGCAATATCGCAGAACAATACCAACGCCTCGGGCTATATCTCACATCACAATGGGTACCCGCACTCACTAGAGGTGTGCAGACTCTTGGAGGGGCCCCTTACGACCCAAACGCAATATCAAGCCATCTCGTGGCATTATCACTAGACTCTCGGCCTCATATCAACAAGCCACCTCATACTCATAATCATAATCAGTGTATTACCGTTGCGGCGTGCAGCCCGACCCAAAAGTATCCTCACAATACATGCCCTCGGCCTTACTCAGTCAAAATCACATAAGCCACTCAGGCAATAGTAAAACATGATACTCAGCCCAAAATAGTATTTAAAATATCATTTCAAGTGTTAAAGCAGAGTAAACATAACTGAGTTTTGAAAAAACAGTAGAATATAAGTAAAGTCATTGGATCATAATAATAGAAATACGGATAAAAGTACATTTGGCTAAAAGATGGCTATGACTAGTCATGTAATTCAATTCATCTCAATAATTTAGTAAGCAATTTCATCATTCAAAAGTCTTATCATAATATGAATGAAATAAGTTATTTAACCACTAAATCATGCATCAATAAGACAAGTACATCAGTACGGCTCGACAAAGAAGCTCAAAATGGCAAAATAATTAGGTATGCCTAATTCAACAAGTCATAACTCTAAACATACTTCTAAACCACAAATACGAGTCATCACACAATCATAAAATCAATAAAACGTGAATAATGAGCTCACATAGTCCAAACAAGACATAATCATAAGCCAAATATTTACTAGATACAGTCATAACCAAGATATGCATATACACTCTTTATCTCACATATATGTGGCTCCTGAATCGAGCAACAAGTAGCAAATAGACCGTCTATGGGGAAACTTTCCTCTTACAAGGATAGACAAGAGACTTACCTCCACCCAACAGGCTTAAATCAATCAACAATCGCCTTTTCGATCAAATCCAACACCAAACAACTCAAATCTAATTAAACATTACTCAAATTAGTCAATACAAACTTTAGGGAATTGATTCAATATCAAAAGGGTTCGATCTTTAACCCAAATAAAAAAGTCAATAAAAAATCAACCTCGGGTCCGAATATAAAGTTGATCATAGATATAGTTCATCCACAACCCCGCAATTCCAAATATATGATTAGATTCTAAAATCAAGTCCAAATGGACTCCCAAATTCTCAATTGGTACTCTATAAAATTATAGACAAAAGCCCCAATTTTATCTTTAAAATTTCATGATCTAAATAATATAATCCATGGGAAAACAAGATATATAATCATATCAAGTAGAAATCACTTGTCCTCAAATTAGCGATAAAAATTTCTCTAAAAATTGCCTCTTCTCGAGCTCCAAAACACAAAATAGTGGAAAATGAGCTTAACCCTCAAGTATAATAATGTTGCCAGTAACTTCACATCTGCACCCAAAACCATCGCGTCCGCAATACCTCTTCTACAAGCCCATACTCGCATTTGCAAACTTCACTTCACTCGCTGACCTTCGCTTTTGCGATGAACAGTCCACTTCTGCGGCGCCATTGATGCACCCAAATGCTCACAGGAGCGAACACGCTTTTGCGCAACTTTGTCTGCACATGCGGACTACCAAGGCCAGGCGAAACTCTGATTCTGCACCTCAACTCTGCTTCTGTGCCTGCGCAGATGCGCTACAGGAGTCGCTTATGCAACCTCGCACCTGCGTAAATGGTCTGGAATCAATCTGAAATACTCATGAGCCCCCATCCAATCAAACCAACAAGTCCAAATACCTTACTCAAACTTATTCCAAGGCTCCAACCACAAAAAACAACGACAAAACCAAGAATCGAATATCAAAATCCTTATCTAAACTTTCAAACACTCTAACTTCGCCAAATGCATTCGAATAACACTTAGACATTGCGGATCACAACCAAACTTTACACAAGTTCCAATATACCAAAGAACCTATACAAAATCCCAAAACACGAATCAGGATCCGATAACATCAAAGTCAACTTTCGATCAAACTTATAAACTCTCCAATCCTTCAAATTGCCAACTTTCGGCAAATATAGTCAAAACCTCCTAGTAACCTCCAAATTCGAACATACGCCCAAGTCCAAAACCACCAGACAAACCAAATGCAACTATAAATTTTTTGATTTCGAGATCGTTTACTCAAAAGTCAAATCATGATCAACTCTTCCAATTTAAAGCTTCCAAATTTAGAATCACTTTTTTAAATCAATGCCGAACTTCTGAAAAGTCAAAACCAACCATATACGCGAGTCATAAAGCATCAATGAAGCTACTTAAGGCCTCAAACCCACGAACAAAATGCCAGAGCTCAAAATGATCGATCTGGTAGCTACCCCAACACCCTAAGTAATTTTGAAGTTCTTAATAACATATGCTGAGCCTTTGCACAACATATGCTTGTATTGTTTACTTGGTTTATTCTGATCATAACATGCACCCAATTTTATTGGTAGAAAAAAAACAGTAGGTGTTTTCAAAATTAAAACTACAAAATGCATATAAAATGAATAAGAAATATGCATTACCTCTTTATCTACAAAGATTATGTCTTAACAAATCAACTATTTATGTCTCTTGAGATTAGTAGACTCATATCCTACAAACTCTAATTTTTATCCTCCAATTATTCCTATATTATTCAACAGTGAAAAAAGAGAACATGCCATATTTTATAAAAATTTTAGTATAGGAAAATAGTATATTAGTTTAAGAAAAAATGTCAAAAATTACTTAAAGACAATGAAAAACATCATGTATTTGCAAGGATGGCATGACATGCTTATTACCATCATTCAAAGAGGATAGTCAATACCATGCCTTGCGTTATGTTTGAACTTTTAGTTCTCAATTCTAAAAGTTTTTATAGGTGGATGATTATCCTTGATCATTAACTTCCTAAATTACTGGAGCCTCGATCTTTTTTTTTTCTTTTTAAGTGGCCTAGTTAAGTAATCAGTCTTTTGACCTAATGTGTTGTTGAGAATAGTTATTTATCTCATTTACAATGACATTGCATAAATTAATTAAAAGTTCAATAAAAAAGACAACTGAACGATTATTATTTATTGTTTTATGAAATTTTAATTATATTAAATTGTACCCGATTTAAAGATTGACTATGTTGAAGAAAATAAGGAATAAATGAAAATGAGTTATTCAAAGATTATAATTTTATTCTGCATACAAATTTTATTCTTGTCCATTGGATTGTCCAAGTTTTAAATAGGCAAAATACATAGTTTATCCATCGACCTTGTACTCAAATCCCTCTTACACACATGTTAAACACAAGAATGGTATTACACACCAATTTTTTTAAAAGTGTGTCGATTACACACCACTTTTGCCATGTGTCACACGCGTGTATTACACATAAAAGAGGCACGTAAAAACTACAAAATTCATCTAATTTTTTTTTTGCTTTTCCCCTTTTAACTATTTTCTTCCCAAATTAAAGAAAAAAATAACTCATGTCTTCTTCCCTAACCCACACCCCAGAGTTCCCCCCTCGTCTTCTTCCCCAACCTCCATCATAGTTTAGTATACTCCCCTCATGTTTCGTCTTTCTAACCAACCCCCATGAATAAGAAGAAAAAGAAAAAGAAGAAGAAAAGAGGAGCTATTGGGTCTAGTAAAAATTACCATTATTGACCTTTTGAAAAAGCTTGAAAATTTAATAGGGTCTTGTTGATTTTGGTGTTCCATGACCTAGAAAATTAGTTTGAATTCGTAATTATTGTTGAATAAAAATTTACTTAGGTGATTAATTTTGATAAAATTCAAACTCCATTAACAAGTTTGAAGCTTTGGGTTTGAGCTTGAATTTGAAATTTGTATAAGGATTTGTGATGGATGTTGTTAAAACTTGTTAAAAACCGGGCAAAGAGTTGAATCTATAGTTAGGGAAGAAGGTAATTGTAGTGGAAATGTTGGTGGTACTATGGTGATGGCGGAGAAGATGTTGGGGTTGGGGAGATGAGGAGGGGGTGGGGTTTTTTCTTTGGGAAGATAAGGAGGGGGCAGAGGTTTTTTTTTCAATTCTTTTTTTTTTTTTCCGATTTATGACACGTGTCATATGCTGATTGACGCATGTAATAACAATTTTTTAAGTAGATGTGGTCAAATGCCGAAGTGATGTATAATTGATACACCTTTAAAAGTTTGATATGTAATATGATTTCCGTCTTTAACAAGTATGTAAGTGGAATTTGGGGACAAGATAGTAAACTATTTATTTTGCCTTTTAAATAAGCAAAGGACAAAGATAAACGTGGAAAAGTGAGACATCTTATTCTCATCATAAATGAGCCGGGTCGAACAGGCTTTGACTGGCTATGAAAATTGCTCCCATTAAGGAAAGGAACAATCATTATTCAATTACCTTCAGTTTAACCTTTTTCCGGCCACTGTACTTTTTTGCTTCTTTCTTTTTTCACTACATCGAATCGAATATGTGTGTGATTATTTATAGGGTTTATTAATAAGAACTTCACTTTCCCCTTTGTGTTCTCTCTTCGATCCGAAAAATGGCGAATTTTTCTCGTCAAATGCGACTCTCCTCTACTCTACTGAGGCTTTTACAGCAAAGAGTAACAGCAGTGAATTCAACTTCTTCGAGGAAATTTACCACGACGGAAGGTCACCGTCCCACCATTGTTCACAAACGTAGTCATGACATTCTTCACGATCCATGGTTTAACAAGGTACTAAAGCAAACAGTAAATTATTCCCTATTATGTTTCATGAAATTTATTGAATCTGAATTTACCAGATCCATCATTTCTTTTCAAGTGTTTTTTCTTTGTTTAAAATCAGTGGTTCAACAATTTGCATGCATATTCTGATTATTTGGTTTGTAAAATGAGTTCTTGTCTTACTGAATTCTTTTAGTGGGTTAGTTGATTTATTTGTTATTGAAATCTCATGATCTGTAAATTGTTATTATTCATTTTTTATTAGAAACAACTGATCAGTTAATACTATGCCCAAACATTGACTCAAATTTCAATTCTAGAGATGTTAAGAGGATTAGAAGGGGCATACTTTTGCTAAAAATGTACTCTTTTGTTGCACCTGTACCGTTTTAGCAATACACTCTTAGTTCTGTTTTATTTGTAGAAATATTTTTTTACCTCCTTAAAAAAAACCAACTCAAATTTGTTGATGTTTAGGCATGACTCTTGGTTATGGGTGCTTCTTATGTTGATGAAAGGAAAAAATCGTTGAATTATCTTCTCAAGGTTCGGTATAACTTTGCGCACCAATGCTTAGGCAGATGGTTATAAATCACTTAGTGTTTTATGCCTCTGCCTCCCTGAAACCTCATGGTTCTCCACCACTTTATTGACCACTAGGCCACACCCTTGGTGCTTGCATTATCCTCCTTCCAATCTGCAATGCCATTTCAATTGTAAACTTCCATTTTGGCACTTCAAATTCTTGATCCCAATACCCACATTCCCCCCCCCCC